GGGAGGCCCCGTCGTCTGCATCACTGGCTGGTGCGGCGTCCCCGCGGGGGGGCGCGCGCGCGCGCGCGCGGAGCGCGCCTCGGGCGGGCGAATAATTAGCATGCACAGCGCCGGCGCCCTGGCTTCACCACCGCCAGGACTCCTTTCGCTCAGGCTTGTGCCACGAGCTCCCCGCGTCCTTGGGAGCCCCTCCCTTGCCGGCCTTTCCGCTCCCCTTCTTGCTGAAGGTATCGCGGCGGGGGCTGCGCGAGCGCTGGCGGAGGACAGGGCTCACCGGGGTCCGTGGCTTCGCCGCCTCGCGCGCCGCGACGCGTGCTCGCGCTCGCGGGGCGCGCGCGCGCGGGCTCGCGCCTGGTCGCGCCGGTCGTTGCCGCCTTTCTTGCCCCCGCCCTTGGCGAACGCCGCCTGGCGGTCCGACTGCTGGACTCTCTCCTACAGCGCGCAGCGCGATGCACGATGCCAGGGCGGCGGCCACTCAAAAGCGCTGCGCTCCTTGGCGGCGCGCAGAATGTCCCACGACAACGCAGTGAACGAGGCCGTCGCATCCTCGTCGCCGTGTTCCAGGTCTTTCGCCACTTTCTGGCGGAGAAGCAAATCGTACGTGTAGGAAACCTGGACGCGGCGCGGGCTCCCGCGCGCGGCTCCCTGGGCATCGGGCCCGCCGCTCCGCGGACGCGCCTTGACGCCCCCGTGCTCCTCGCTCACGCGCGCGAGCTGGTACATGTATCCCAATAGCACGACGGGATCAAACACTTTGGACAGGATGCAGCGAAGCCCCCACTCCATTACGTGGGCCTCGCGCCACGGGGCGCGCGTGGGCGCGCGCGCTGCGCTGCGTCGCGCGCGACCTGGAAGTGCGCATAACCGAGAAAATCCATTCGGTCCAGGGCCGCACCCGCGCGGTTCGCCGCGGTGACGGCCGACGCGCGATCGCGCCACGAGCCCGCCCCCGCTGGTACCGAGTCCAGCTTCGGCATTCGCGCCCATTGGGGCTTGCAGTGGTCCTGCGCGCGGAGCAATCGGCGAAACGGAAGCTTGTCATTGCACGTGCCGCCGAGCAGGGAGCCTGCAGGCTCTCGCCCTCGGCGCTCCCAATGTATGAGCGGCCATGGGACTGGGCCGTCCGGCCCGCGGCCGCGAATTTGCGCATCGACTCCTCGGTCGGCAATCCCTCACGGGGGAACTTGCCGAGCCAGACCTCGCGCACACGGTCCTGCCGAGGCGCGCATCCCCGAACAATGCCGCCCGCGCATGCGAAAACGCGGCGCGCCTCCATGGCAAACGCCAGCGGCTTCTCCCGCTTTTCTTCGAGCAATTCCTTGCTGGCCTTCACGTATTCTTCCATTGCCGCCGCAATCCGCGTCGTCTCCTCCGCGGGCTTGGCGGCCGCCTCCGCCGGGGCCGATTGCTGACCCTCCTGGCGGCACGCCGTGCGGCGGCCCGCGTCCTCGCGCACCAACGGGGCGGGGGCCTTCCGCCCGAAGGCTTCCATCGCTCGCGACTGTGTCCGCAGCGCCATATTGATGTGGCACGGCTTAATCGCGAAATCGCGCCACTCCGCGGAAGAATCGCCCGCAAACGGCTTCGCGCCTGGCTCCAGGGCCGCAATCAACATATCGCGCATGGCCGCATCCGAGTAATCAATCGGGCGGACCGCCCCGATCGCTTCGGCCATCAGGCGCGCGACCGTGGTGCACAGCACCAGCTCGGGAGCTGGCGATGCGCCCCCCTCCGCCGCGTTGGCCGCTGCGACGAAGAGGACCCAATCGGCCTTGCGCGCCGCTGCGAGTGGGCTCATGCCCGCGGTAGACGCACGGAGACGCGCGCGCGCGCCCTGATGGCATTTTTGTCGGTGCCGAATGCGCCAGCAGGCAGATCGCCAAGCAACTCAACGATGTCTGAGCGAGCCAGCGCCATGGATGCTGCGCGCGCGTCGGAAAGCGCCGTGCACGTATCCCCCTCGGCGTCCTTATCGCGCGCTGGCGGTTGCACATGACATAACCCGCAGGCATCCAGCGCAAGAGGGCAGGCAAACGCACGCCGCAGGCATACTGCGCACCGGGGCTGACAGGCAGCATCCGCAGGCATACTGCGCACTGGGCCGGCATGGCCCGCAGGCGTACTGCGTACAAGGGCCGGCATACGGCACGCAGGCATACTGCAACGCATACTGCGCTATGGGGGGGGGCCGGCATACGGCACTCGCAGCATACTGCGCTTAATGGCCGGCATACGGCGCCCACTTGCAGGCATGCAGCCGCGCGCGCAGGCATACTGCGGAGAGGGGCTGACAGGCAGCAATCGCAGGCATACTGCGTACAGGGCCGGCATTCGGCATTCGCAGGCATACTGCGCACAATGGCCGGCATACGGCACACACTGCAGGCATACTGCACAGAGGAATGATTGCCGGCGTACGGCATCCGCAGGCATACTGCGCACAAGGGACCAGCATACGGCGCGCACTTGCAGTACAGCGCAGGGGACAAGTGGCCGGCATACGGCATCCGCAGGCATACTGCGCACTGGGTCGGCATTCGGCCCAGGATGACCCGTACTCATGTGTGTCCTGACCTTCGAGCCGCAAAACCGACGAGGGACGTAGGTGCTCTCCACGAAGTAGACGCGCGGACCTGTGGGGGAGGAGGGGAGGGGAGGAACCTGCAACGGGAGAGAGAGGCGGCGGAGCGGCCAAGCGAACGCGCGCGCGGGAGGAGGGGCGAGGGGAGGAACCTGCGACGGGAGAGAGAGGCGGCGGAGCGGCCAAGCGAACGCGCGCGCGGGAGGAGGGGGGAGGGGGGGGGGGGACCTGCGACGGGAGAGAGAGGCGGCGGAGCGGTCAAGCGACGCGCGCGCGGGAGGAGGGGGGGGGGGGGAACCTGCGACGGGAGAAAGAGGCGGCGGAGCGGCCAAGCGAACGCGCGCGAAAAACGCATCCCGCCAGCGGGACGGCCACGCGTGAGACAAATCCCATTCACCTGCGACGAGAACGCGCTCGCGGGCGCGCAGGGTGGGGATCCGCCTCAGCCGTGAATAGCCGTCCCGCAGCATTAGAGACAAGCAAGAAGATAGCCAATAGGGGCCACGACGCTCGCGCGACTTCTCCCCGCGCTCAAATGCTGCCCAGAGCGCCCATACAAAAGGGGGGGGTACGTGTTGTGGGCCCAGATCCCCGATTTGATTACTCGGAGTAAGTTTCTGCGTTTCGCGGACCCTTGTCTTTTTCAGTCCGTGCGTTTCGCGTCGGTATCGGCCTGAGGGGCTCCTCGTTCGGCCCTTGGCCATCAGGTATGGATGCGGGGCGGAAGCTGTTCCTGGGCAAGGGATCGGGACCTTGGGGCCGCGCATTGCAAGAATCACATCGTCGGATGCCTGAGGGCGTTTCCGCTGGCTTCTCGGCGGTTGTCCAGTCTCGAGATGTGTGTTTGTTTCCGCGTGCTGCGCCTCGCCGAGAGCGTTCTGGGGGTGCCCGAGTCGTCCCGAGCGGCCTTCGGAGAGCCGAGTCGACGACCCCGAAGCGAGACGGTAAGGTCCTGTCACGTCAGACGACACGGGGGGGACGAGGGAGGGCGGGGCTGCGCGAGAGCTGTCGCGTGCAGCTGGACTCCAGCCCGCCGCTGTGCGCCCCTTGATGCGTGGGCGCCTCTGGCGCCAGAGACGCCAGGGAATCCAGCGACGCGAGCGGAGGAGGAGGAGGAGGAGGAGGAGGAGGAGGAGAGGAGGAGGAGGAGGAGGATGAAAGGGGGAGGAGAAGGGGGAGGAGAAAGAGAAGAGGAGGAGGAGGAGGAGGAGGAGGAGGAGGAGGAGGAGGACGAATTGAAACAGTGTTAGTGGGCCTTCGGGGGTGGCCCTCGCGGCCACTGCTGGGCGCAGCTCGGGAAACTGGGGAACGGGATGGGGCCCTGTGAACGATATCGAGCTGCCGTTGTCTCAGCCCGCCATGTTCCGAGAGCAGGCAGGATCGGAAATTGGAGCATGCACACGTCCAGTGGCGGGCTTTGTTGTTGTTGTTGTTGTTGTTGTTGTTGTTGCTGCTTTCTTTCAATATCAGGGTTTCTTGAAGGTCGGGGACGACGTCGGGGTGGTGTAGTGTCTACTTCTCCCCCGTTTCTCCGGGGAATCATACACCAGGATCCCGTGTACGGTAGGTTTGCGTCGTGTCGACCGGCGGCGACCCCGCCAGCGGCGTTCAACTTTGAACGCCGCGGGCGACCCAGAATCGTTCGATGTAGGAAAATTTGGACGTTTCGGAAACGGCCGATCGTTCAAGGTTGAGCGATCCCCGCGGTGTCAGAAACCAACGCCGAAGTCGGCACGACACGAACCTAACGTACACAAGGCTTCGCCTCCAGTGCGTGGCCAGAAACAATCGTCGGCGTATAGAGGTCGGCTCCCTGCGGGAGAAGGGCCCTCCCCGCTCTTCAACACACGTCTCCTCGTCGGCGGCCAGGCAGAGTCGCTGCGCTGGCGAGGAAGCGAAGCGGGGCTGCCGTTCCGCGAATTCTGCCGCCATGCAAGAGGGGATGAGAAGACGACGAAGCGACGGCCGAGAGGAGGAAACTGACCGGGGCCGCTCAGGGGAACGGGCCGTTCCCCAGGGCGCGTGGCGCGGCCCTCACCGCCGCGGGGCCAGCAGCAGGCTTTGCAGTAAACACGTGCTGCTTCTTCTTGTTGCGTTGCTCAGTGCTTCCAGTTTCTCTGCATGCGCAGGGGCCTGGCCAGCGCAGGAGGCACGCCCGGCCTCGGCCTCGGGAGTGCTCTTCGGGCGCCGCGCCATGGGGGGGGGGGGCGATGAACGGGGCGGGGACGAGAAGGTGCATATCCTTCATGCGCCTTCGAGGCCCGCAAGGGGCCCCTCTGGGGCCCAGAAAGGGGCCCGAGAGGTGCAAGTCTCCCCCCCCCCCCCCCCCCCCCCCTCGTCCATCTCCCCCCCCCCCCCAAGAGGCAGCGCCCAGGCTGGTGCGATGGGAGGAAGGCTCTGCGCACCCTTCGCCGGGGAGGCCGCAGTATTTCCGGCAGAGCATCATCAAGCTGCTCACACAGGCCCCCGCCGCGCGCCGGCAGACGGGGGGACCCCGCGGGAGCAGATTCAGGAGGGGAAAAACACACAGACACAATTAATCGGCGATTCCCAGAAAATATGGGAAAATATGGGAAGTGGGGGGGAAGACAGAAACCCAGAAAATATAGGAAAATATTGGGGATATCTTTATTTGTGTGTATTTATTTGTGTGTTCCAGTTCCCCTTCACAGATCTATTTATTCCCGCCTCGGCCGGGGCCCTCCTGCAGCAGCATGCACTCCGAGGCCTCACTACTGGGGTTCAAGCAGACGGGGTCGCAGGATCGCGCCGCATCGGCGACGCATCGGCGATGCGGCTCGATGTGGAGCCCGATGCTTTCCACGCCGACGTCGCCGATGCATCGCCGACGTCGCCAGTGCATCGGCGATGTATCGTCGATGCGTCGCGACCCTCCGACCCGATCTACTCGGACCCAATTTGGGAGGCTCCCATAAACATGTTAGCACTGTGGACCCCAAAACAGTGTTGTTCTAGCAATCTATGTAGTACAATCTCTGTGGAGCAATATTTGTGGTGCTTTCTGTGTCGTGTAAAATCTATGTCGTTCAATATCTGCTGTGTCTCCATGTTGTGCAATTGTTCAATTGTTTACGCTTCGCGAATCCCCGCCAGCCCATGCAGCGGCCCTGCCCATCAGAGTTGACGGAAAACGGAAAGAAGAGACACAGATAGTGAGGCAGAGCGTGCAAGGAGAGGAGAGGAAGGAGAGTGCTAAGCCATTTTGGAGGCGATTTTGGAGCATCGGAGGCCTTCTTGGAACTACGGGGCTGTGTTGGGAGATGTTGGGGTCCTCATGGAGCTCTTTTGGGGCATCTTGGAGCCCTCCTGGGGCCCTTCGGGGGGTCTTGGGGTCCTCTTGGGGCTCTTTTGGGGCGCCTTGGGGCCCTCATAGGGCCCTCTGGCTCTCTTGGGTCCCTCTTGGGGCCCTCTTGGGAGCTATGGGGCGCCTCATGGAGCCATCTTGGAGACCGCAGATCAAAGGAGGGGGGGTTCTCGATTTGCGTTCCCCCTCCGGGGCCATCGAAATAGCCTCTTGGGGCGCTCTTGGGGCCCTCTTGGGGCGATCTTGGGCGTTCTTGTGGCAGTCTTTGGGGCCTTTTGGGCCCTTCTTGGAGCTCTCTTGGGCCTTCTTAGGGCCATCTTGAGGCCGCGCATTGGAAGCGAAAAGGCGAGAAGGCAAACATCAGCGATTTTCTAGGTTTTTGGAAGGAGCTTGACTTCTCGGGCAGGTCCTCCGGGGTCGCCGAAAGCACCTGGAACCGTCTTGTGGCCTTCTTGGGGCCTCTTGGAGGCATGTTGTCAGCTATCTTGAGCCATGTTGGGCTATCTTGAACGATCTTGGAGGTCATCCCGGGCTTTCTGAGGCCATCTTGGAGCCATCTTGGGCCATCTTGGACGCTCTGACCGCTCTCGAAACCCCGTCTCCCGAACTGGGGGTAGGGGGAGGGGTAAACCCTTCCCCGAAGGGGAAGAAGGTGCTGCCAAAGAGGAACGAGAGACATCGTTAGACCACCTGTCGCCTAGATGGCTGGTGGGAAATTTGATGTGCAATTAATTTTTGTTCGCAGTGAGTTGTCCACTCCACTGCTCGCGCAAACATCCCACCCACCCACCCGCAACTTGGTTTGCAAACCCCATGCGGCGGCGACTGCGGTGAGTGCTTGGCGCTGGCTGGTGCATCTTTGCGGCCGCGCCAGCCCGCGCATGCACACGCGCGCAGCGGCCAGCTAGTTTGGCGCGATCGACGTGGTCGCGGTGGCGCAGACCGCTCGGCACATCTTGTTGGACACTCGGTTCTGAAATCCTTACGGAACCAGCGGTCTTTGAATGATTTCGGCATGCGCGCGCGGCGAGTCGCGCGTGTGCACTTCGTTTTTTTTGTTTCCCATTCCGAAGGATTCTTGGAAAGTGATGATTTTCATTAACGTGTGTGCGCGCATACTTTAGTCAGCAGATGATGCGGGGGGTGTCCATACCGGCCCCCTGGGATGGTGTGAAATCATGCTTTCGGATGGGCGACAGGGCAGATTCGTATGTAAATTGCAATACGAAAGCGTGTACCGTTAAGTCCGGCTTCGGGAGGTTGGTGGCTCCGATTTTTTCTGCTGAACGTCAATGTGCTGCAGTCTACGTGGTGCAATCTATGCAAAACAGTGCAATGCAAATCACGGCATCGCAGTTCAAGCGAATGCTAAGCAATGCTGGCCCAGACGACGGGCGGCGATGAGGGTGCGATGGGGCGGCGACGAGGCGGCGACGGCGACCACGGACGCGCCGGATCAACAGCCAGGCTCAGACGACGGGCGGCGACGGGGCGGCGACAGCGACCACGGAACCGCCAGGCCAATAACCAGGCCCAGACGACCGGCGGCGACGAGGTGGCGACGGGGCCGCGACGGCGACCACAGAGCGGCCAGATTAACAGCCAGCCCAGTTCTTCAGAGACGAAGTCATAACCCCTAAGCGCAAACCCTGCGTGGGAGTTCAGTTTCATAGCCCCGTGCGGACACATGAGAGATTGTTTCTATGAAGTTCTTGGTTCCTCTACCTTGGGCTGGGGGAGGGCCCTTTGCAGCTGTCACGCGGGGTTGAAATAAAGAGCAGACCTGGCCGTACTTGGGCTGTTCTTCGTTTTGGGTGTCTCCATGTTGGGCCACAGACGAAGGGTTTCATGTTCTTGGCCCGCGTTGTTCCCGCCATGTTTCGACTGCACCAGCCCATGCCAAGTGGGCCCGTCAGACAGAGAGGGCAGAGGAGAGTGGGTGTTCGGGATGCCTTGGTACGACTTGTTGCAGCGAGGGCGAGGGTCTTCCCATCAAGGCTCGTCTTGAGAGGAGGGGGTGGATGAGGTGACAGGGTAGGGGGTAGAGGGGGGTGATGAAGACGGGATTGGATGGGGAGTAGGAGGGGAGCAGCAGGAGGCGGAAAGAGAGGAGGAGATGAGGAGCAGCAGTGTGAGGCAGACGGGGGAGGAGGTTGGGGGAGAGTGTCCGGGGAAGGGGGAGACGGGGGAGATGGGGGCAGCGGGCAGGGCTGAGGCAAGCAGGGCCGAGGGTGCAGAGGGGGAGGGTGACACAGGCGGGGAGGCAGAGACTGGGGGAAGGGGGGTGGGGAGAACGCAGGCGAGTGGCGACTGGAAGAACGGGAGAGAGGGGGAAGGGCGGTCGTCGTCGTCGTCGTCGTCGTCGTCGTCGTCGTCGTCGTCGTCGTCGTGGTCGTCGTCGTGGTCGTCGTCGTCGTCGTCGTCGTCAAGCCCAGCTGCATGCCACGGACCCGACTCGGAGCAGCCTGGGCGGACCTGCAGCCCACCTGCGGGGGTGCCCCGCGAGGGTGAGCTGCAGCCCCTCCCGGCCGCTGCTGCAGGCCTCGGGCGACCACTGCAGCGGGAGGGGGCGGCCGGGAGGCGGGAGGGATGGATGGGAGGAGTCCTCGGGAGGAGCTGGAATCAACAGCGCTTTGCGCTCTGGCGGCCCCGCGGGGGATTAGGGAGCCCGTTCACCACCCTTGCTCCTTGAGCGGTTGGGGCCTCCACGGTTAAAGGAAAGGCAAGCTGCGATTGCTCTATGCGCCATGCGTGAGACAACAACGTCTTGCCGCCGCCACCCCAACCAACCATCCAACGATCGTCGGCCCCGAAACGCCCCCGGCGAGGCGCAGCTGCTGGCAAGCACCCCGAGATTGAAAGCCGCCGAGAACCGAGGAAAGCGTCCGAAAACCTTGAACCTCGAACCCCCCTCGCTCGCCGCCGAAACGAGTTACTTCCACATGTCTACGACCACTGCAGAAGAGGAGGGGGCGGCTGGGAGCGGGAGGGAGAGGCGGGCCCCGCCCGCCGGCGCTCAGAACGCCTACCTGTACGAGACCGCGGGGATTGCCGCCGTCGTCAGGATCAAGGGCGACCTGGAGGCGCCCCATGCGGGGGGGGAGGGGGGAGGGACGGGAACGAAGAATGACAGAAACATAACAACTCGGAGGTCCGCGCGGATTTTTCGGATCGGCGTTGGACCCCCTCCCTGGCGCGCGGAGCGCGTCAGGGCGGCGCCGGAGGCGCCGCCAGGGCGGTCCAGCGCGGATCCGAGAAATCCGCGCGGACCTCCTAGTCTTTATGCTTAGATCAGTCCTGGGGGAGGCAGGGTCGGCCACGCGCGGAGGGGGGGCAGGGGGAGGGGGGAAGGCCTGTCAGAAGCACCCCTGCTCCGAAGGCGCGGGCCTCGTCGGTAGACGCGAGGCCGGGGCCTTCTAAGAAGCCGGGTGCTTCGAAGAAGCCTTCCCCCCTCCTCCTGCCCCCCCCCTTGCCCGCCGCCAGGAGGGAGGAGGCAGGGAGGAGGGGCGGGGGGGGTGGAGCAGACGGGGAGGGAGAGGAGGGAGGAAGGAAGGCATGCGTGGCGGGAGGGAGGCAGGGAGGGAGGGTTTTGAAGGAGGAAGGGAGGGAGGCAGACGTAGAAGGAGGAGTGGAGAGGGAGGAGGGAGGGAATCAGGGATCAGGAATCAAAGCAGTTGCGAAGCAACATCCAAGCAAAACTCGCCACCTCACTTGGGACCTTGTGCCTTGAGTGGGAGTCCTCACAAGAACCGATCGATATGCCCACGCCGCGTGCGAGAGGTCACTTCGGGACGACACGGCTGGCCAAGGGATGTGAGCTGATCCTTGCCACATGCACCACATTTCCCGCGCAGCCAAGACTTGACGCCTTGCGAAGGTTCCGCGCTATCTGAGAGCCGCTATCGCTCAAGGTTGAAGGCTTTCGCGCATCTGGCACGGCACGTCACGAACCAGCAGGAAGCCTCGTCCCGTTGGTTTCCATGATTGCGGCGAGGAGTTCAAACGACTATCGTAGGCCACCTTCAGCCCTGAGGGCTAGTGGGATTGTCCTCTTCTCTCCTTCCGCTGTCCTCCGTCAGAGCTGCCTCATCACCATCCTCTACCTTCTCCTGCTCCTCGTCCCACTCCTCAGCGCTCGAATAAGTACCTCTTCTTCTGTCACCGTCCTTCCCCCCATTCTTTTCTCCACATCGCCCCCCTCCCCCTCTTTCCTTGGTGGCAACTTCTGGGAGGCTGGGATATCCTTGGTCGGACACCGTCGTGTCCGCTAATCCAGCTGAGGTGGCCCTTACTCTGTCCTGGTTGCTTTTGGTCGGTCCTTACGATTCCATCCCAGGGGATGCCTCCAGATCATTATTATCGTGCTCCTCATCCGCCTCACTCTCATCCCCGCCCAGTGCACAAGTCCTGTCAAGAGGGAGATTCATCGGGGGAGAACCACGTTTCCTCTGAGGAGTTCATTGGCTTTGCGTTTCCTTCTTGCAGAAAGGGGGTAGGGATGGGGGCAACAGGGCCCTCGGCAGGGACAGCCTTCGACAGCCTGCGGCGGCCAGCCTGGGTGCGGAACAGCCTTTTTGCTGACATCGACCACCTGGTGATCCTCGACCTCCTTCTGTCCTCCTCCTCCTCCTCCTCCTCCTCCTCCTCCTCCTGCCCCGCCTCCTCCCCCGCCTCCTCCGCCTCCTCCTCCTCCTCCTCCTTCTCCTCCTCCTCCTCCTCCTCCTCCTCCTCTTCCTCCTCCCCCGCCTCCTTTCCCCCCTTCCCCTCGTACTCATCCCCCCTTCGAGCTTCTGTCTTCGTCTTCGGCAGCTTGCCTGCTCTCGCTCGTGAGCTGCCTGCTCGTGAGCTCCCTAATACTCCTCCGCCTGCCCGCCCCGCACTGCTCCTCCTCTTGGCGCGTTCGGGCGTCCTGGCCTGTCCTCATCCCCCCTGGCCGGTGCACTCCTCCTCGCCCTCTGCTCGCTCCTCCTCCTCCCTCGCTCCTCCTCCTCGCTGCTCTTCCTCCTCCCCCTCTTCCTCCCCCTCTTCCTCCTCCTCTTTCCCTCCTCCTCCTCCTCCTCCTCCTCCTCCTCCTCCTCTCCTTTTCTTCGCCCGCGGCCTGGCCTTCAGCGCCCGATCGCGCCTCGGCGCCCCCCCCCCGGCGCCGGCCGCCAGGAGACCTGGAAGAAGCTGGACAAGGAGGACAAGGGCTGGCTCGGGGAGGAGGAGATCAAGTCGCTCTTGGAGACCAGGGGCCGTCCCGAGCTAGTTGCCCCTCGGCGGTCGCCGCTCGTCGGCGCTCGTGCTGTCCCAGGCCCGCTGTGGCCCAAGCGCGAGCCGCAGGTGCACGAGCCTCGGGGCGCTCCGCTGCGTGCGGAAGGGGCGGCGGCGGACAGCTCTGCATGCCAGCGTGTTTTGGCACGGGCATTCCCCGACGTTTCCTTGCTCCCTCCCTCCTCCTATTCATCCGCCTCCTCCTCCCCCTCCCCTCTCGTCGTCCCCCACTCCTTCCTCGCGAGGAGGACAATCACATAGAGGTCCACGTGGACTTCCATGATCGGCGCTAGATCGATCCCCCCTGGCGCGCTGAGCGCGCCAGAGAAAGGGGCCCAGCGCCGTCCGAAAACACCCGCGTGGCCCTCCGAACGTTGATGCCTAAGCCGTTTCTTGCTCCTCTCCTCCCCCCTCCTCCCGCATCATCAACCCCTCCACCGATCAGCGTCCCCGTCCCTCCTGCTCCCCCTCCCTCCCTCCCTCCCCTCCTTCCCTCCTCCTGCTCGTCCACCTTTCCCTCCCTTCTCTCTTCCCTCCCACCGTCTCCACTACCCGCCGCCCCCCATCGTCATCCCCCTCCCAGCCAGCTCGCCAGCGCCCCGCCTCCCACCATCGCTCGCCCGAGCTGCCCGGGCGCGCAGGGCCGCCGCCGCTGCACCGCGGCCTTCGTCGTAGCGTTTGGCCCGGCCCCACTCTCCCGAGCGGGCCACCTGCTGGCCCAAAGAGCCCACTCGACATCACTCGCAGAAGAGTCGACGCAAGAGAAGCGGCGCAAACGTGAGCCTCCAGAGCTCCACGTGGATTTCCTGCGGCGGCGCTGGGGGCCTCCGGCGGCGCCGCCCCCGGCGCGCCCCGCGCGCCTGGGAGAGGGTGACGATGTCCAGCGCCGATCCCAGAAGCCCGCGAGGACCTCGGGAAGGTTCTGCTCATCAGGTTCTCTGTCTCTCTGCGCTGTGCCTGGAGCGATCCCCACCAGAGAGCGCGAGGCGGGACACCGGCGCGCTTTGGGCCTGGCGGCCGCGGGCGCGCTTTGGGCCTGGCGGCCGCGGCATGCAGTGCGTCGTCGCCCGCCGAACCAACGGGGCGGGGTACCCAGGGAGCACCGCCACATTCGCGGCGTGCACGGAGTGCCAGGCGTTTCGGGAGTTATTTTTCTCTGATCTATCAGCCCCAGCCTGCCGGGCCGGAGAACGGCACCGGCAACGCCAACGTCCTGGAGCCTCGCGCGAGTGCCTTGGGTCGGCCTGGGACCCCGCACGGCCTGGATCTTGTTTTCCTCTGGGCCATATGGCGCGTGATGTCCCCCCTCTCCCCGCACCCTCCCATCACGTGACGCTCCTCCCCGCCTGGTGCGTCCCCGGCGCTGCTGCAGAGCGTCTGGCACTCGTCTGTCACAGCGGGGGGCGCGGCGTTCCGCTACGGGTCCCCCCCCCCATAACGCCTGTCATCACCGCGAGTTACAAAAAGATGCTCTCCTGTTGGAGTGCATCCAGGACGTACAGGCAACCCGCACAATCAGGATGGGCAACCTTCCCAAGGGTACCCCTTGCATCCTTACCTTCTCAGTCCATCCTTGGCCGCTTTCGTTGGCCGCGCCCCGCCCGCAGAGTGTCACCATGGCCTTCCAAGGCCCTTGCATCCTTATCCTGCCTCCTTCTGAGACGTATTTACTGCAATTTCCTTCCCCTCTCCCTGCCCAAGTCGGGCGCCCGACGTTTTTTCCCCTCTCGGGCCCCGATCCCGCGCCCCCGCTGAGAGCCGGGCCGCCGCCGCAGCGGATGAGCTGGCGCTGGGCGCGGCCGTGTGGCCCAGCAGCACGAGAGGCGAGGAGGAGGAGGAGGAGGCGGAGGCGGAGGCGGAGGCGGAGGCGGAGGCGGAGGAGGCGGAGGAGGAGGAGGAGGGAGGAGGAGGAGGAGGAGGAGGAGGAGGGGGAGGGAGGAAGGAGGAAGGAGGAAGGAGGAAGGAGGAAGGAGAAGGGAAGGAGGAAGGAAGGAGGAAGAGGAGGAGGAGGAGGAAGGAGGACGACAACGGATGACGACGGGGGAGGGGGATGTTGAGGAGGAGTAGGAGGAGGAGAGGAAGGGGATGATGATGATGAGGAGGGAGGAGGAGGAGGAGGAAGGAGGAGGAGGAGGAGGAGGAGGAGGGTGAGGGGAGACAGGAGGGGTAGGAGGCGGGCGATCACAAGGAGAAGGAGAAACGTCGATGAAGAAGCTGGCGCGCGGAGCGCGCCAGGGGCCCCTGGCCGCCAGGGGTGGGTTCAGCGCCGCGCGGGCCTCCCAGGGTTCAGGGAGCGCGGACGTTCGCAGTTGGGTTCAGCAGTTCGACCAATCCCTCCTGACACCTTCCAAACACCTTCCTCGGAATCCCACCAGCCCTCTGGGCGTCGGTGGTTTAGAGCGTTTCTTCTTCCACCCCTCCTTCTTCCCCTTCGGGGAGGGGTTTACCCCTCCCCCCACCCCCTCCCCACTGACCTGGACAGGGGGGGCCGCGACGCGTTGGAGCGTCCAAGATGAGCCAAGACGACTCCAAGAGGGCCTCAGGGAGCCCAAGATCGCCTCCAAGATGGTTCAAGATAGCGCAAGATGCCTCAAGATGGTTCCGAAGATGCTCCAAGACGCTCCAAGACCGCCCCAAGACGGCTCTAAGTGTCCACTAGAGCTCCCCTCGGATGCCCCCCAGAAGCCAAACTGTTTCAAAACCCTAGGGAAAATCAATGTTTTTGGCGTTCTCGCGCGCTCGCTTCCGATGCCCACCCGAGGCGTCAAGATAGCTCCAAGATGGCTCAAGATAGCTCCAAGGAGGGCCCAAGAAAGCCCGATGACGGCGCAAAGAGCGCCCAAGAGCGCTCCACGAGCCCTCCAAGAGCGGTTCAGGAGGCGATTTTAGAGGCTTTCCAGGAGCGACGCTAATTAGTGCTTCCGCTTTCTTTGCCAGATCCCCTCCAACATGGCTCTACCAGCGCCTCTGAGGCCTCCAAGAGCGCTTCAAGAGCGCCCCAAACGACGCCCAAGAGGCCCCCAAGAGGCTCCCAGGAGGCCCCCAAGAGACCCCCCAAGAGGCCCCAAGAGACCCCCCAGAGGCACCCAAGGTGCTCCCAGAGGCCCCAGAGGCACCCAAGGTGCTCCCAGAGACCCCCGAGAGGCCCCAAGATGGCCCCAAGAGGCCCCAAGAGGCCCCCAGGAGGCCCCAAAGAGGATCCCGAACGGCCCACAGAGGCCCCCCCGAGGCACCCAAGACGCCGAAAAGCCCCTCAGGACGACCCTCTACTCGCCTGGGCGTCGTTTCTGGACGGGCTGGTGGGGATACGCGAAGCGTCTAGAATTGTTTCAGGAGGGCGTCCTCCACACACCTTCCAAAAACCTTCCTCAGGAACGTTTCTGGAGGGCTTCCTGAACAAAAACACCTTCCAAGCACCTTCCTCGGGAAATTGTTGGAGGGATTCCTCCAGCATCCATCCACAATCCTTCGTCATTTTTTTGGTTTTCCTGAAGGTTTCCTCCAAACAACCTTCCAAAACACCTTCCTCAAGGAATGATGCCGGAGGGTTTCTTCAGACAAACTTTCAGGAAGGTTTTAGTGAGGGTTTCCCCCAATAACCTGTCATCACACCTTTCTCGGAGAGGTTTTTGAAGGGTTTCCTTCAAAACACTTTCTGCTAATGAAGCATTCCCCAGGAAGGTTTTTGGAGAGCCACCTTCCAACAGCTTACCAAAACCTTCCTCCGGAAGGTTTTTGGCAGGGTTCATTCCAAAAGCCCGCTTCGGGAATGTTTTTGGAGGGTCTCCTCTTGAAGATCTTGCTAAGCAACCTTCGGAAAACGTTCTCCTATGTTTGGAGGGCGTCCGCCAGGACCCTTCTGATAACATTCCTCTGGAAAGTAGTGTTTGGAGGGTTTCCTCCACACTGCCTTCCAACAGTATTCCGCGGAATGTTTTTTTGGAGAGTTTCTTCCAGCAACCTTCCAACAACCTTCCTCAGGATGGGTTGTTTGTTGTATATAGGCTTTGACATATGTAAACGTCAGCATATCGACACACTTACACATACGCATATACATATGTATGTCTTTATGTGTATATATAGGTACTTGTATATATATATATATATGTATGCACCCATATTGTTTTGTTATGCTGTTGCCCGCAAGCTTTCCGAATACCTTACTCAGGAAAGCTGTTGGAGGGGTTCGTCGAGAAGCCATCCACACATCTTTGCAGGAAGGTTCTTGGACGGTTCTTCAAAGACAGGCCAAACAACCCTCCCTCAGGAAGTTGTTGCAGGGTTCTTTACAAAAGCCTTCCAACCACCTTCTTCAGGAATGTGTGTTTGGAATGGTTCCTCCAAACGCCTGCCAAACACCTTTCTCGGTTAGTTGTTTGAAGGACTACCTCCCAAAGACTTACCAAAACCTTTCTCCCGAAGTTTTTTGGACGGTTTCGTCCAGCAACCTTACTCGGTTTCTTCGGGAAGGCTTTAGGAGGGCCTCCTCCAAAAACTTGCCAACCACCTTCCTCGGGGAGGTTTTTGAATTTCCTCCAAAGCCTGCCGAACACCTTCCTCCAGACGGGGTTGGGGATCTCCCAAAAACCGTCAACTGGAAGGCGCCTGGAAGGTTTCCTTTGCAACATATCCGAACACCTTCCCAGGGAGACGTATGGAATTGTTTCCTCCAGGAGCGTGCTAAAAACCTTTCTCAGGAAGGTGTTTGGCGGTTTCCCTGTTTAAACAATAATCCAACAACATTCGGCAATACTTTGTTTCTGATCCTTTCTGTGGCCCTCAAAACAAATGTCCATACACCTTCAGGAGGAAGGTTTTAGAACGACTTCCCCCAAACAGTCATTCCTCCACAGACAGTGCAACACAACACATATTTTTTCGTGAGAACTACTTTGTAACAAGTTTCCTCAGGGACGTGTTTGGATGACTTCCAAAAGAACACACCTTCCAACCACCTTCCGCGGGAAGGTTTTTGGAGGGCTTCCTCCAGAAGCCATCCAAACCATGTTCCTCCGGCTTGTTTTTTGGGGGCGGGGGGAGGTTCTTTCCAACCGACCTTCCAACATCCTTCCTCGATCATGATTTTGGACGGATTCCTCAGAAAAAAGCTTCCGCTAACCTCTCTCCAGACAGATTTTGGAGGGTTTTCCTTCAAAACACTGTGCACAGCTCTCTTCTCGAATGTTTCGGAGGGGGCTTCTTCCAAAAAGCTGCCAACAATCCCCTTCAGAAGCGTTTTCGGAGGTTTCCCTCCAAACATCTCGAGGAATGTTGTTGAACGTTTTTTTGTCTAGGCAACCTGCCAACAACCTTCCCGAGGAAGGGCTTCGGACGGTTTGGGAGGTTTGGGAGGTTGTGTTGAGGAAGCCTTCCAAAACCTTCCTGAGGAAGGTCCTCTACAAGCAGGTTTTTGGAAGGTTGTTTGTAAGAAGCCTTCTAAAACCCTTCTTACAGAAGGTTTTCGGAGGGTTTCGGTTGAGAAATCCACCACCCAAAACCTGCATTGAGCAGGTCTTTGGAGGGCTTTTGTTTGGAAGGTTTTGTTGGAAGATTTGTGTAAGGTCTTTGGGCGGTTTTGGGAAGTGTTGTTTGAAGGTTGTTTGGCTGGTTTTTGGAAGGCTTTCTTCATGTGTTTGGCGGGTTGGCTCATTTTCGGAAGGTGTTTGGAAGGTTTTAGGAGCACCTTCCAAAAACACCCTCCTCGCCCCCCCCCTTCCCGAGCCCGGGATGATCCTCTAAAAGCCTTCCCAAACAACCTTCCCAAGGAAGAATCCAAGAGCGGTCCCGCGCACTGCCGCACCAGCCTCGACGCTCACGAGGGAAAGGGAGGGCGAGGGCGTTGGCGAGGAGGGCGGAGTGGGAGGCTGCGGAGGGGCAGAGGGCGGCCGGCGGGGAGCACGCGGACGGGCAGGCTGGAGGCACTCGCGGGCTCGTGAGGGATCTGCGCTGCGCCCCTCCCTGGCGGCGCCTCCCGCGCCGCCCCTGGCGCGCTCCCCGCGCGCCAGGGGTCCAGCACTTGTCCGAGACACCGGCGCGGAGCTCCGCGGGGCTGTGTCCGTGGTGTTTTTTGGTTCCAGGGGAGGGGGTGGGGTGACCGAAGGGGTGACGGCCAAAAGTGACATCAGGTGGATTGTGTTTTGCAGCCTCTGATTCTGCCATGGGCCGTGCTCGACCGACGTGCGGCGGACCCTGCAAGATGGGCGTCTACGTTCTGAAACCGGGCCCTGCCAGCTTCGCTCCGCCATGCCCCGCACCGTCCTGCCACGAGTGCAGGGGCTCAAGCCTACCCATCGGGCCGTTGAAAAGAGGCATCCGTGGATTCCCAGATTCCGATCTAGCTTATGCTCCTTCCTATTTCAATCATCGATCGGCTTCCCTCTTTAGGGGGCGTGTGGAAATCCAAAGTACGTTCACCGCTTTCCCCCCTTGTTTCTACCAAGTTTTCCGACCCACGGGTAAGGACGGCACGGAGTTGCACAGGACGTCTGATCCAGAGTTTCTGGTGTCGCTCTTCATCCCCTCATCCCCCCCTTGCGCCATGCGACTCCGAAGGAGGACATGTTCGCGGACACGTCCGCCGCCAACGGCGACAAGAAGACGCCGGCGCTGGACTCGAGCGTCATGGACACTGTGATCAGACGGATCGCCCGGTACGGCAACGGCGCGCCCCCCGCTTCCCCCAGCCTGCCCGCCGCTTTCCCTTTCTCTTTCCAGAGCTGGCTGGGAGGTGGCGTACAGTCGGGGCCCTGAAGAAGGAACCCTTTTCGTTGGGGAGGGGCTCGGTGTTCCTTGATTGTTCTGCAGTTTGCCTGTGGTTTTCCTGAGGTTTCCCATGGGAAATGGAAGTTCAATTCATGGGAGGAAGGGGCCTCGTTCCTTATTTAGTGTTCCTTAGGTCAACGCCCCGACTGTAAGTGGCGGATCCTCGTAAGGTCCCGAGCGCCACCCTCCCAGCCCGCACATCTGCGAAAACGAGCACGCACAAGCGAAGCCCAGGGTTGAACAACAGCAGCCTGCCCGTTCGCTCTTCGTGCTGCTGCTCCAGCAGGCAGCCGGGAGCGCGCGCAGGAGCGCGAGCAGCCCGCCAGAGGGAGGCGGCAGCTGGAGCAAGCGCAGCTCCTCCTCCTCCTCCTCCTCCTCCTCCTCCTCCTCCTCCTCCTATCTCCTCCTCCTCCTCCTATCTCCTCCTCCTCCTATCTCCTCCTCCTCCTCCTCCTCCTCCCTCCTCCTCCTCCTCCTCCTCCTCCTCCTCCTCCTCCTCCTCCTCCTCCTCCTCCTCTCCTCCTCCTCCTCCTCCTTTTCCTCCTCCTCCTCGTCCTCCTCCTCCTCGTCTTCCTCCTCCTCCTCCTCCTCCTCCTCCTCCTCCACCTCCTCCCTATTGGGCGTTGCTAGAGGGCCCTCTGGCCCAAGACTTCTGGATGTCCACCGAGGCCCCCGTGGCCTCCAGAGCGCCCCCCACGAGGCCCAGAGGCCCCGAACCCATCCCAGACCCTGGCGCTTGTTGGGGTTAGCGCTGTGGAGGACGATCGATGGAGAGGAAGCATTAAGGGCTCCCACGAGGGCGCGAAGTTATTCGCGCTTCGCGCTTCGCGGTCCTCGTTTCTTCTCCCCCTCCTCCTCGTCCTCCTTTTCTCCCTTTTGGGGGGCGGCGCGAGAACGCGAAGTTATTCGCGCTTCGCGCTTCGTGGAGCGCGAAGCGCGAAGTTGGGAGCCCTAGAAGCATGTTGCCAAATCATTTCCAGATGTCTAAAACATGTATCAAACATGTTTCAAACATGACAAACACATGCTTCACACACGTTTAGAACGTTTTCCCGACACTTCAGACACATTTCAGGTTCAACGATCGGACTGTTAGGGTGTCCATTGTCTTGGCATCCGCCAATGATCCTAGCGCTTGGCGTTAGCGCGTCCCGCTTTGGGCTCAGGGGGGGCCTTGGCTCTCGGGCCGCTCTTCGGGCCTGTGCCGTGGAGCCTCTCTGCGGCCTGCGCCCGCCGTGGCCAGAAGAGAGCTCCTCCGCTCCTCGCTGTGCGCTCTCTCTGACAGCTCTCGGGGGAGGGGCCCAGCGCAGGAGGAGGAGGAGGAGGAGGAGGAGGAGGAGGAGGAGGAGGAGGAGGAGGCCAGGAGGAGGAGGAGGCCAGGAGGTCCGCGCGGACCTCCCAACATCTGTGTGTGAGCTATTTCTTCTCTTCTTCGAACGAGGGCGAAGAACGCATGCCGTCACAGGTGCGGATACGGCGAGCTCGTCTCGTCACGATTCGGGGCTGGACAAAACCACCTTTAGGAAAATGTGGTTTAGTAAAAGCGACCTCGGGCCCAAACCTGGCGGGCGCCAGCCTGGAAAGTGACGGCCGCGGCGCCCTCTCGAGAACCGAGAACGGACAATTCACTGATCGACGCGTCAGGGTGGGGGTTCTGTCCACCCCCGAATCACGTTGACTGTAACGGGAAACCCTGCAATTCTTGCGTACTTTTTTCCTGCACCCGGCGTTTTCGCCCCGGTTCCGGCCCCGGGACCTGCCGAGATCGAAGCGGCTCGAGACATGGTTCCGGGACACAGTGTCCAGGGCTCTGGGCGTGATTTTTTCGCATCGAGGTTCGGGGCGGTCAGGGGTAGCTACAGACTCGCGCTTCTGGAGTCCAAACTGGAGGTGTCCCGGACCGCAGCTATCCATCATAATTCGGGCGCCCAACCCTCCCGAATGATCGGGGCTGGGAGCGGTCAGGGATAAAAACGGATTCGCGCCTCGGGGGTCCAAATTGGAGGTGCCCTGGACTGCAGCTATCCCGCATACTTTGGGCGCCCAACCCTCCCGAATCATCGGGGCTGGAGGCGGTCAGGGGTAGAGACAGACTCGCGCCTTGGGGTCCAAACTGGAGGTGCCCTGGACCGCAGTCATACCGCACGATTCGGGCGCCCAACCCTCCCGAAACGTGAGGGGTGGAGGCGGTCAGGGGGAGCTACAGATTCGCGCCCCCGGGGCCCAAACCAGAGTGGCCCGAACCAGAGTTACCCCGAGCCGCAGTTATCCTGGATAGTCCGGGCGCCCACAGTCGCGGACACTCGGGCGTGCCCTCAGGTCCGGGCGGCGCAGTCTTCCCATGCTGGGCGTTTGTCGCCCCCCCCCTCTCGGGCCCGGAAAGCACCACGGATCGATCCAGATCGAAGGTCCACATTTCACCTTGCGCGAAAAGCTGGCCCTTGCGAAGGGATTGGTACGTCGGGGGTCGCGCATGTGAGAAGAATCACAGATTTCGAGTCCCCAATGTTTCTTCGTCGGATCTGCGAAGAGCACGTCGGGCTTCCGGAGACTCTTTGTGAACATTCGATGCATGTGCTTGTAGATTTCGACGCAATTTCTGATCTGGGCGTAGACTGATGCTGTAGCTGATCTCCCACTCGGACCTTCGGTTGTATGGGGCACGCGTCCTCGAACGATAGGCTCGTGTCGCGTCGTCACGGCGGCGGCCCCAGCGCTGGCGTCGGAGGCCGAAAGCCGCCAGCAGCACGGAGGCGGCCGATGTCGAGCGGTCGGCGCTGTCGGTAAGCCGCCGTCGCTCGATCCGCGCGGTGTCAGAAACAAACGTCAGCGTGCTTCGGGGGCGGACAGAGCCCCCACCCTGACACTGACACGTCCCGGGGCCGGAACCGGGGCGAAAACGCCGGGAGCAGGAAAAAGTACGCAAGAATTGCAGGGTTTCCCGTTACAGTCAGCGTGATTCGGGGGTGGACAGAACCCCCACCCTGACGCGTCGATCAGTGAATTGTCCGTTCTCGGTTCTCGAGAGGGCGCCGCGGCCGTCACTTTCCAGGCTTGCGCCCGCCAGGTTTGGGCCCGAGGTCGCTTTCACTAAACCACCTTTTGCTACAGGTATTTTTTTTCCGTCCCCGAATCGTGACGAGACGAACTCGCCGTATCCGCACTTGTGACGGCATGGATTCTTCGCCCTCGTTCGAAGAAGAGAAGAAACGGCTCACACACAGATTTTTGGAGGTCCGCGCGGACCTCTTGGATCTACGCTGGGCCCCTCCCCTCCGCCAGGGAGAGGGGTTCATGTGTATGTTACATGCCTTTTCTCTCCTTGTGCTCCTCTGCTTCTTCCGCATCCACGCCCCCTTCCCTCGTCGCCTTCGCTCTTGTACAGCTGTGCGCCAGCGCATGTTGACCTGCGGATGAGTAGAACCTTACCCAGACCTGTCCAGGGACAGTGCCTTGAAGCTCATGAGTATGCTTACGCGTACGACTCGGGGCAGCGCGAAGCGATGGTGCAAGCTGCTGCAGAGCGTGTCGACGTGTTGACCCCAAGTCAGAGTCGAGTCGTCCTTCTCAGACTGTTCATCGTCCTCTTTTTTGCTGCTGCTCCTCCTAGCTTTGCTCCTCCTCCTTGTCGCTCACCTCCGTTCTTCTTTTCTCCTCCCCTCCCGCAGGCACAAAGATGGAGGCCGGCAAGATATTCTTCGAGGACTTCAAGAAGTGGTACATTGCGAGCGAGACGCGCATCAAGGTAGAGGTGCCTGCTCCGCCCCGGGGCACAGGGAGGACACGCCTGCGGGACGACGGCGCCTCATATGGATGGTACAGGTTCCCGAGGGCATCGGCAAGCTCAGCATGGGGAACAGGAGGCAGTGAGGATGGTGGGTGATGGCAGGGAGGTGGCTAAGAGTAAGGAGGAGGAGGGGGAGGCGGTCGTGCTATTCGTGCTCCTCCTCTGCCTCGTTCCCCCACTCCTTCCTCCTGCTCGACGTCGTCGTCCTCAGTGCCGCGGCAGCTGCTTGTGTGGCCCTGGGGATGCCCGCCGTCTCCTGCGGTGCGCTGATGTGTCGGAGGAGGTGGAGCGGAAGAATGTTGGTGAGCAGGTGGAGCTGCAGGAGTAGGCAGAGACGGTGGAATGGGGAGGACAAGCAAGAGGTATGAGGATGTTGAGCAGGTGGGGTGGCGTACGTTAAGGAACGGGCAGATAGGAGAGATGGGGGAGGATGCCGAGGTGGATGTATTATTCCCTTGGGTTGACAGCGGGATGTCTGCACACAAAGCTCTCCGAACAAGCAAAATCTATGGACCAGTCATGCTGCGAACGGCGCTGCACGGCGTCGTACTTGCGGAGTTGTCCGTTGAGACCACCGCATCGCAAGACGTCCTTGTTGCCTCATTTCTGGCACTATCGTCGCAACCCTCTCGGGGATTCACGATCAGTCGGTTGTGTTGGCTTTGATATCAGGAAAGCTGTAAGTTGCGGGCCCGCTCGTTATTTCTCGGCAGTGCGCTCGACGTCCAGCTATGCGTGCTTCCACCCTTCAGTGCGAGGTGGGAGGGGTGGGGACATCGTTGCCCACGCAATTGCTGTGGAAATCGTCATGACACAGTTGATGGGGTGGCGTGCCAGGTGCTGGATCAATCCGCCCATGGTGGGCATGACGTCAGGTAAGCAGTCTATCGGTGTCCGTCCGTCGTGGTCCCAACCCCGCTGCAAGACAATATCTGCAGCATTGATCCAACGTCCTGGCTCCTCTCCTGATCCGTGGGCCCCTGTCGAGTTGGGGTCTCGCGTGTCTGTCTCGGCCACCATCGGAGGGAGCAGTCGGCTCAGCCTCGAGACTCGCGCAGGTTTCTGTTTGCTTCGCCCCAACCTCGGGTTGGTAGCCCGTACCTGGTTGCCCTTAGGCCGCGCAAGGCCGCGACGCGACACTGGCTGATCTTTGCAGTTCAAGGCCACCAGGCCTTCGACGCCACGCCAGAGTACCCCCCGTGTTCTGAAGAATCCTCGCCAGGGCTCCCCCCTCGTCCTGCGCTGTAGCAGCCAAGTGTAAGTCTGGCACGTCCCTCCACAGGAGGAGTATTCAAAAATAGTCGAAACAAAAGTCTGGGGACGATTTCCCGATGATGTTTCGACAATGTTCGAGCATTTTGACTATTTGGATTTTTCTCCAAAATTCGCCTGTAGGAGGACGTGCCCGACCTAAGCCAAGTGCTGCCTCTGTTGGAGAGGTACGGTCAAGCCTGCCCGACTCGAAAGCGCAGCCACGGGCTCCTCCACTGCGTCTCGACGGGGCGCGCGCAGCAGCATAGGTCGTTCGCTTCAGTAGGTACTCGTGTCATGGCGCCAATATCGCAGAGCGGATTCTTTTCGGATTTCAATAGGGTGGGCCCGGAGTGTCCTGGAGAATTTCGTTCCGGATTTCGAAGTGAAGTTCGTGTTTTTTTTGACCAGGAATGAAGACTAACAAACATCCACGTGAACTTAACTGTGTTTTTCCGCTCGCCGTTTCCAGGTTTTGCATTGGCAGAAATCCACGCAAACATCGGCTGCAGCATGTCTGCAAGGTCGGTGCAGTGACTCTTGGATTCCCAGATCCCACCCTTTCTGTTTGCTCTCCCCCTCCAGTGAACGAAGTGTTTCTACAATGACCGCCAGTTGCCACGTCGGCAAGCCGAAATCCAATGTGCTTAAACCGCCTTCCTCCTCCACGCATCTACCACCGTCTTCCGAGCTCGGCGTGCATAGTTGGACGTGTGAGCGCGATCGGTAGCAGCATATCCTACCGTAGAATTGGCGATGTTCAGGACACAGCGACATGACTTCAACATCCCGCAGACGGGGCGGCCTGAAAACGTCGCGCAGCGCGATTCCATTGCCAAAAACCCTGAACGGTGAAACGCATCAAAGAGGGACACTAACATCGCAATTCCAAGATTGCTGGTGGGGTGCGTAGTAGTGCTGGGAAAGCCTTGTCCCACAGGACGGTTGGTTGTCGTGTGAGCCCCATTCCAAGCTTTCTGCCGTTCGACCGCATGGTCCCATGTCCCATGGCAATCGTCTTCGTCTTCGTCTTCGTCGTCGTCGTCGTCGTCGTCGTCGTCGTCGTCGTCGTCGTCGTCGTCGTCGTCATCGCTCGTCGTCCCTCGTCGCTCGTCTCTCGCTTTCGTCATCGTCGTCGGATTGGAGGAGGATGATGCAGGGTACCGAGAAAGGGGCAGAGGAGGAGGACGATGATGATGATGATGATGATGATGATGATGATGATGATGCTGCTGCTGCTGCTGCTGCTGCTGCTGCTGCTGATGATGATGATGATGATGATGATGATGAGGAGGAGGAGGAGGAGGAGGAGGAGGAGGAGGAGGGGGAGGATATCCACCTAACAGGCCGAAGAGGAGGGGGAGGAAGAAGAAGAGGGAGGAGGAGGGAGGAGGAGGAGGAGGAGGAGGAGGAGGAGGAGGAGGAGGGAGGAGGAGGAGGAGGAGGAGGAGGAGGAGGAGGAGGAGGAGGAGGAGGAGGAGGAGGAGGAGGAGGAGGAGGAGGAGGAGGAGGAGGAGGAGGAGGAGGAGGAGGAGAGGAGGAGGAGGAGGAGGAGGAGGAGGAGGAGGAGGAGGAGGAGGAGGAGGAGGAGGAGGAGGAGGAGGAGGAGGAGGAGGAGGAGGAGGAGGAGGAGGAGGAGGAGGAGGAGGAGGGAGGAGGAGGAGGAGGAGGAGGAGGAGGAGGAGGAGGAGGAGGAGGAGGAGGAGGAGGAGGAGGAGGAGGAGGAGGGGGAGGGGGAGGGGAGGGGAGGGGAGGGGGAGGGGGAGGGGGAGGAGGAGGGGGAGGAGGAGGAGGAGGAGGAGGAGGAGGAGGAGGAGGAGGAGGAGGAGGAGGAGGAGGAGGAGGAGGAGGAGGAGGAGCAGGAGTAGCAGGAGGAGGAGGAGGAGCAGGAGGACAAGGAGGGACCAGCACTTGGAGAACCGAGAGAGCCTGGAGCACGACGGAGGGCGTTGGGAGGGAGGAGCGCTGCCGACGAGAGCCTGGAAGGAGGGAGGGCGGGCCCGGGGGGGTCGGCAGGAGGGAGGGAGGCTGGGGCGGCAGGGGCAGGCGCGGTGGGCGGCGCGTCGGAGGTGGCGTGGGGGGCGGCGCGGCTGTCAGGATGGAGGCGGCCCGGGCAGAGGTGGCGCGAGAGAGGCAGGGAGGGAGGGGGAGAGGATGGAGGAGAGGGAGGGCTGATGATGTGCGGCGGGAGGGAGGGAGGGGGGATGGGCTCGGGGGCGGTGCGAGGGGTGGGATGCTGGTGCAGCGGGTCGATGCGACGGCGGGAGGGGTGGCAGACAGGACGGGCGGGGGGGTGGGGTGGGGGAGGGACGGGACTGTGGACGAGCGGGGTGGAGAAGGCGGGAGTAAGGGAGGATGTGTACGGGAGGGGGGAGGAGGGAGATGAGAGCAGGAGGGCGGAGGGAGGAGCGGTGGAAGGAAGCGATGGAGGGAGAGGGAGGGTGAGGGGGAGGGAATGAGGGAGCGAGGGAGGCGGGTTTGACTAAATCCGAGCTCAAGCGGCTGTCGAACTGAAGCCATCTCCTCTCAGCCGTTGTCCCGCGGCGCGGACAGGTGGGCCGTGTTTTCGACACGTTCGACCTGAATAAGAATTCCAAGATCGAGCTTGACGAGCTCGTATCGATGCTCAAGACAGCTCGCCCGCGTTCGTTATTCCTCCTTCGCAGAAGCATCAGTATATGCACTTGTATCATGCGTCCTACTTCTCCAGTTTTTGTCGCCCTTACTCGCTACTCAATATCATGCTCATCTTCGTCCTCATCCCCTGTATCCATTCCTCCTTCGTCCTCTTGCCTCCCTCCGTGCTTGTTTTCGTCACTCCGCTTATCTCCTCCCTCGGTCCTCCTTTCCTCTTGCTTCTTCGTCCCTCAGCTCTCAGATGTTCTTGGGCATCCCCCTCGTCGGCCTCCTCCGTCCTCCCATGTCCTCCATCTGCCCCGTCTCCGCCTCCTTCCCCTCCTCCACTCCCTCCGCGTCGTCTTTCTCCCTTCTCGGGGCTGCCGTCCCCGTCCCTGCTCCGCCGCCTCACTCCTTCTCCCCACGGGGATCAACGACCACAGCGCGACACGTTCACTGCAGGTCGTAGAACCAGCTGCACCGGAATTCAATACGAGCATCCTTGTCCAGCTCCCTCATGGGGGGGCAGGGAGCGGGAGGAGTGGGAGAGGCGGCGAGAGTGAGCACAGGCGAGAGAGGTGCAGGATGCGCTCACGCCCGCCCACGCCCAGGTCCATTTCGAGGAGGAGGAGGAGAGGGATGAGGAGGAGGACTGGTAGGAGGAGGAGGAGGAGGAGGAGGACACGATGCCGAAGACGATGACGATGGTGATGGTGATGATAATGGTGATGATGACTATGATGATGATGCTGCTGATGATGGTGCTGCTGATGGCAATGATGAGCATCCTCATGATACTGCTGATGATGACGATGGCCGTGGTGGTGGTGACGGTGGTACTGACGACGATGACGGTGCGGACGATCATGATACTGAATCCGATGTCAATGTCGATCACCATTACGATGACGATGATGTTGTTGGCCATGATGATGATGATGATGATGATGATGACGCTGATGCTGAAGGTAACGCTTGCGATGATGATGATGGTGCTGATGATGATGCTTGTGATGATGATGATGATGATGATGATGCTGATGATGATGATGATGATGATGATGATGATGATGTTGGTGATGCTGATGGCGATCATGCTGGTGCTGATGGCGATGATGCTGCTGCTGACGTCGATGATGATGATGTCGACAATGATGATACCGAGGACGATGACGACGATGCTGATGATACCTATGATTACCAGTATGGTGATGAT